TAAATAAATGGTCTACACATGAGCGTCGAGGTCGACTTGTTGGAAGCCAACCTGCCAAAGGGCAACTTGACGAAGGGTAATTCCGCAAATAGTCGAATTATTAATAGGGCATTTTATAGAAGGAGCGGTTCGTCGATGAGGCCCTCTCGTCGGCATTTTTTGAAACATTATTTTATGTCCAAACAAAAATAATTTAAAGTGTGCCGCAAGTTTCCATAGCAAGTGTGTTTGAGTTTTAGCTTCACATACGCTGCGGATTGTGGGCTGTGTGGGTGTATGCTGAGTAGAATCTTCGAAGTGATGGCACGAGCTCCCAGCTCCCGGCAGTGTCAGGTAGCAACGTAATGACGACAAGGCGTAAGGAAAAAGACAACAACAAAAAGAAACCATTTCCGTTCAACTCCCCTAACCCAGTGCAATAAACTGCCTTTCAACATGTTCAATTCCTCTGACGAGTTGCCCTCTCACTTAATTGACCTGTGATAAGACTATCCAACAAGCTGGCCTATTTTACGAGTTAGGCTTCGAGGAGTTGGCTTTCGACGAGTTGGCCGGATCCCGAACAACTCCATGTTTGAGAAAGTCGACATTGCTTCTTGTATATTCAATAATAGAGTCACTCCCAACAGAAACAGATGAATATGCTCACTGACTCATAGAAATCTTGTACTCTACAATACAAAATTGTGAACCTCCAAGCACATTGTCTACTTTTTTTTTTTAAATTTGAACCCGTGATTGTTTGCTGTATGCTCACCACGAAGACATATAGAATCCACATAAAGCTTGGAAGTTCCATAATCCGGTGTTCCGGCCTTCGAGCTCAGAATCATTCCTTTCACCATTAACCCGCGTGTTTTTGTGTTATAGGATGCCGTAATGCATTCAAAGTACCAGGAGTTCCCGAGAAACGGGGACCGTGCTCTTGGGCTCGGGGAAATAAATTAAGCATCACAGAAAACTCAAACTTCTTGAGAATTTAACGCTAGCGGTTGTGATAGAACGCAAAAATTTCAGAGCATGACGTAGCCCGGATAAAAAGATAATCGAAAGAAACGAAATTTCTCTATTAGCCAATGTCCATCTAAGCCTAATATCTTCAAAACAAAAAATGACATTCTGGGTTATGATTATAATGCAATTAAACGCAAAAGTGCAAGCGAGCTGGACAATAATGACGAAAATAAACCCTGGAGTAGGGGAACAAGAGGGGTAAAGGACAAACTCAAATCACCTTTGTCCCTCTTGTTCCCCTTCTCCAGGGTTTATTTTCGACATTCTGGGTGCCTGTATGTACTTCAGTGAAAACAACACCAAAAATGTTGTCACAAAGAAAAAAATAATAATATCCTCTTTCTTGCTAAAAAGTTTTATTTTTTCTTACTGAAATAAATGCTACATGCTTCCCACCGTGCAACGTCACTAGAACCCCTCAGTTGGAAAACTGCCATCCGCTCTGAATAGGTGGCACCGATCCGTACTCGAGAGCCGAGCTAATGGCGATCGCAACGCCGCCATTTCTTCCGCAGCGGCCACTTGATTTACTGCACGTGACTTCTATTTTGCCTTTAATCTGCCATTCAAGCGCCCAAACATCTACCGTGGAAGGGGTTTCAGGGTACCACCCCGTCTCACAAGCAGGACGCGCCGCGAATTGCTATCGAAGTTAGAATTAAGGCACCTAGGTCGGGACGCGCTACCTGAAATCACCGCTAAGATATGTTTGTATAAATACTACAATAATTGCGCCGCAAAACTTTGCAAACTAAAGATTTTAGAAAACGTCACGCGCCCTTCATTTTGTACTAAACTCCAATAGAAGTTACGACAAAAAGAGTTTTTTTTTCCGTTTGTTTTTATGCAAAAACATGCTTTTAAAAGTTCAAGGTGACCACAATAAAGACAAAAGATTAAGAGTGGCGCTGTTTTCGTATTTAGCTCGGTCTCTGTGGAGGCCAGCGGCCTAGGTTTCAACGGTGAGTTTCCCAACTGAGTGTTCTATGTAACGTTGCCAGGCTGTGTTTTCCTGTTTTACCGATATTAAACTTAGGTGGACGTCAGCTTATATAGAAATTTCGATTTTGTCAATCATCGTTTGGTCAAGGTAACGTCCTGTTCTCAAACTTTCGCGTTCTATCCTAACCACCAGCGTCACATTCTCGCGCAATTTGAGCTTTCTGCGATGCATAGCTTCTTCCTTCTTTCAGCTGGCATATCCCTTAAGCATAGATTACTTACACGGGCCGAAAAACACGATTCTCGGGTTCTCGTTTCTCGGAAACTCCCTTATACTTCGTTTTGGCACGAGCCCGTGCACGGGCTCGTGCCAAAACGCTAAATCAATCACCCTAAATCAAGACATGTCTTGATTTAGGGTGATTTCGACGCTTTCTCAGGGAAACGAGAAGCTCGATGAAGCTTCGTTGTAGGGTCGATGGCGTCGAAAAGCATCGTATACACGAAACAGAGTGTAGTACACCGCTCAAAGCCATCAGCGACACGTTTGTCGCTGTCCCAAGCACTGCCTTTCTACTATTATTTAGCGTTGTTGAAAACCGATCTGAATGTGCGAAATACACTACATTTTATACGGATACAGAGGGACGGCGTCCCGTGAACATGGGCCCACACCGAGGCCGTATTCACCGTGTGCAGGTAAGCGCTGTTGCCCGCGACGGTCGCTCCAGGAAGGAGCCTCATGATAACAAATTGGCCATCAGTCAGAAGGAGGTCGCTGTGGAATAGAGAGTGCATCGATTTCATCGAAGCCTCCCGGCGGAATCCCCGGAATCGCTTAGCACGTCTCCGTTGGGGCTGCATATACGGCTCTGGGGCTGCTGAGCGGAGAAAATAAATGCTGGTTTGTACTCGTTATCCTTCATCATTTACTCGTTTTTGAACTGCTAACCACTGCCCCGAATCATTGTTTTTGAAGCCTGACTACACGACGTGGACGAACCACGCCGACCGATCGCACGATCGGTACCGACCAGGATGCGGAAATAGGCTGTATGAGGCGATGCGGGTGTCACGGAGGCGGGCATACCCAAAGTGGAGCAGCTCGTCGGGGCGCGCTGGACCGCGCCGTGCTGGACTTGACTGTAAAGACGGTTGTTCAGGAGCTTCATGGCACGGCGCGGCGGGACGTGGCGCAGTGGCCGACGAACGTCAGTTTGACTTGGCGTGCGTCCTGTTCGTCGAAGTCGAAGTACAAACAGCCCTTCAAGCCGGAGAACGACCTGCAGCAGAACGGGTGTCTGCCGCGTGCACCGCCGCCGCGTCTGTGACTCTATGACGTCATCAAGGGGAAATCGACGGATCACGTTTTAGGACGCTTGAAACACACCGGTCGCAGACGCGTTCTAGGCACCCCAGATAAACGATCTTGGACAAACCCCTGGCTACATTAAAGGAGAGATGCAAAAATTCTTGTGCTTTCAATAAATACCGCTTAGAAATATTTTTGACACAGTCGCAAGAAACGTTTAAAAAAAAAAAAAAAAGAACAACGTTCACACTCTCAAAAAAAAAAAAAAAAAGAACCGTCACGTGATTTGGAGCTGATTATTTGGCGCCAACGATTATCCTAGCCATGCGCTGAGATTAGTAAAGCTAGGCACGAGCTGAGTTCCAATGTAGGTTCGGTCCTTCCCGTCCTTGCAGCGATTGGGCACGTGCCACTACACGAAGGCCTGTCGAGGAATCGCCCTCGTTCGGTTACGTTTCGTGACGTCATTACCTTGTGAACAACAAGTTCGATGGTGTTTGTAATGGGCATGGTGGAACCCTGAACTCATAGCGCTCTCAAAGCAACAAAACCAACACCGTCAAAGTTGAAGTTCTTACATTCTTTATATTTCCGTCGACCAGACATCCTTTTGCTGACGTCAGTCAGCATTCGGCCAATTCTGGTGGGCCGACCACAGCGACGCTTTCGATCGCTCACGTCGCCAATAGACAATTGCAAGCAAGGCCGTGCACTTGCTGCCGGCCTGTCTCTGCTCGTGAGGACACATGCTCGTGGAATTTCAAGCAGCTATGTTCACGCGCAAGCTGCACGTGCTTGCACTCAGCGGGCAACAGTCGGGGCGCCAAGCCGAGTTAAAATAAAGCCCCTCTATCCTGGGAAAAGTGGCGCCATTCATTGTTATGAAAATGCTCGAGACACGTGCCGCGCGCAACTTCTGGGAAGAACAGGACGTCTTAAATTTAGCTCAGTGCTGCGCTGCGCTGCCATGATCTTCATGAGGGCTGCATGTTGCACGTGGCTTGTGCATCGGCGCACCTTGCGCTACTTTTGAAACATGAAGGGGCTTTTCGTTAAAATATCGCCACCGAGGGAATGGAAAAGCCTGATGACAAAATCATAAAAATTGCATTAAAAAAAAACACGCTGTCGAGGTTGGGTTTGCGACGCGTAATTCTAGTTTTTCTATATACGAGCTGTATTAGAGCTTTGAATCATTTTTTCACGTCAGGAAGGCGTAGGCAAGCAACTTTGTTATGAAGCCGATCATCCAGGAGAGGGAGCGCGATTCTCACAGCACGGTACCACCATCGCTGAAAGGGGCGAACGCCCACAACGATTGTCATCAAGTTCTCCGAATGAGGGACAGAAAGAAAGCGCTCTCTTTTATTCCTGGGATTAAGTGACGGCAAAAAAACGTCCTGGTCAGTGGCGTTGCGTGCGAGTTAGCTTGTGTAAAGTGAGAAACATTCCTACCCAATATCGATGCACGGCTCCTTTGAAGTGGTGTTTACGCAATAATACCTTGGACGCTTCTCATGTCACGCGGGGAGTGGCCTCTGGAGAGCCATCAATGTAAATAATGTCCGGCCTCAGCTGCGATAATACCCCACACACACGGGAAGAACCGATGACTCGTTGCGCGCTGCGCCCGATTTCCGGAACAATATACGGTCGAGGAAACGAAGTACTTGAGTTCTCTTATCTTCCCGTTACGACAAAGGCCGGTAATATCTCCCGTTCACCGAGACGCCGACAAGTTCAATTAATCTATCTATTATGATAACCCTCTCCTTCCAGAAACTCGCCCGCTGGAGGTCCTTGCCTCCGGGGTGCGGTAGGCGGAAAGCTCTCCAACCCTCGAGTCCACGAAAAACATAGATAACCCTACCGTTTTTGGGGGTCCAGGGGTGGCGACATCTGCGTCTGCAGCCTGGAAACTTCCACGTTCCCGCATTGTATGCCCGCCTGCGGTCTCGTATAATCTAATCTCACGCGGATCGAAGTACACAGTCCTCCGTACGTGAGTGTGTGTGCGAGTGCCGTTGGAGATCCCTCTCGCCGCCAGGCGAGGCAGGACAATACCAGCTGCCTCGCCGCATGTCTTCCTGTCGGCTGCTCTGGAGGTAAACACAACGGCTGCGGCATGATTCTCGACGTTGGATTCCTTCTGCGAGGTCCAAGAGGATGGCCAGGACAGGGAGCGTTGCTGGTCTTGGCGTCTGTCTGGTTGAGCGCGGCATGGGCAGCGCCGCTACGTCGGAATCCGCCCTGCCGGCGTCATCTGGGTGAAGCACTTTTGCTTGTCTCGCTCGCATGCGGTCGTTTGATTGAACTACGTTCCAGGATAAAATCCGGTTGTGTGTATGTTTATCCAGCATAGAACTTGATCTGTCTCAACGGGCGACAAGTCTCCCAGCTGAAGATTAAAAACTTTGCCAGTGCAGTACAACCGCTAGCCTGGGGTCTTTAACGCGCATCACACAGTAGTGATACACGACCGCACGCCGGTACGCGATGCTCATCCATATCGAAAAGGGCGGGGGTGCGAATTGAGCCATTGGATCCTGGGTTCTGCAGCGGGGGCTTTCGCTCCACATGCTCCGAGCTGGTGTGCGCTAGCCCACTCGGCCACCCCCGCCCTTTTCGATCTGGATCGTGCCAGCATAAAAGACCATTTGCTATATTACCCAGGCATCAAAGAGAATGCAGGGATTGTTGTTCCACGCGCCACATGCGCACGCCTTCCCCGTGTTAAAGATTCGAAGTAAATAACCAAAATAAATTGTAGACGAACGCGCGTGCAAGATGACATTTATTTTAGGTATTTGCTTCAAAAAAGTTACTACTACTGAGGCCAGCACTTGCGGCGCGTTGAACACCAATCCCTGCATTCTCCTTGATGCTTGTGTAATCTAGCAATATGTCTATTGTCATAAATGTTGCCTGTCCTCCGTCGACTATAAAAAAAAAAAAAAAAATTGACGTTGGCAATTGCTTTAAACTTTGTATCACTGTACAAATGAAACTGAACTGGCTTATGGTATCGTAATGTTTTTGTTTCGAGGGTTCACTTTATCGTACTCCAACTGCGGTCTCATACGTGCACAATGAATGAGTTATCTAGTTTATGATAAAACACAAGTCTCAGAAATCAAACGAATGCCAACTTCCCCACATAAACACCCTTGAACTTTACACGTTTAATCTACTCACAGGTGTACACCCTCCGAAAGTTAGTGTTCTTTAATCGCAAATATAAACGATCAGTCTTTGCCGAAATGTCGCGTTAGTGTTTCGAACTAGACGCCAAAGTATTCGGAAGTACCCGTTATTTTGTAAAAAAGTTATGAGCGATTTTCAGGTATTTTTAATGGGGAAATGGTAGCCGACAAAGCCCACGAATACATGGGGCTGAACTGCGCAAACTGCCGAGAACGGGTCCGATTGTCCCATTGCAGTTTCTTAAAAATCACTTCGAGCTTTTGAATAAGGTAACGGTTAGTTCTGAAACATTGACATCTGGTCCGGACAGCTAGCGCTACAATTGGCCGAAAACTGAGCGTTCGGCTGTTCATACCCTATTTTTGCCATGAAAAAACAACACTGGCAATGTTTTTGGGGACTTAGGCTAGGTGGCGCAAGCTACCGCCTGTTACAATCGGTAGTCGTTAACATTCATTCATCCATCCGGACACGTTCTAGATTGTGAATAATAAATTATACGAAGGAAACACGAAGGTCCTTGTTGTACGACTTTAGTGGAAAATCTTGTTTGTATGAGAAATGTATTGGTCCTGTAAACGCATATGACCAAATAAGATCTTATAATAACATATAAAGACCTACATGAGTATATGAGAAGTTATAAGAAACTGATGAGAACTCTCTTATAACGGCTTATATAATCTTATATTGATCTTATATTTTCTTGTAAGGTTCTTATATGACCTTATATATTCTTAATTGAATAATATGTGCCTATTGAACGAATAAATTTCTCATAAGAATTAGATTTTTCACTAGGAGAGTGAACGAGAAACTGCAATCTCTAAAATCGTCAGCGAAAAGCTATATTTCTTCTTTACTTTCTCGTCCTTTTACGAACATTCTCTATAAAACCTTCAGCGTAAAGGTTAGTAGTTCTAATCTAGAAATTTCGCTTAAACGTTGGCTCCCAGTTGGTTTTTTCGTCCTTAAGGTCATATCGCATTTCGCCAGAAAGATGTCTAGTTTGTTGTCTGGAAGAACTCGCATGAAGTGATGCTCGTACGCGTTTCATGTGGCAACTTGAGAGGTATCAACGCACAGGTTGTTGTAAATTTTGCTACGTTTCAACAAGGATGCCTCACGGAGCGAGGAGAGTACTGGCTTTCCTTTGGAAAGCAAATCATAGGAAAACGATATTTGCTCGCTTTGTAACCCTAGATATCGCTATCGTGGTGACCTAAATGGTACAGCCGGGGACCTGGCTGTTATGACACACTTGACTAATTTTACTGGTGAGACGACGAGTTAGCCGAGTTGGGTTTTAATTAATGTTTATTTTTTGGTGAAAATGACCATGTTGAAGTAAAAGAGGATACTTGTTCTTTGTTCTAGCTTAACCATTCAGAATCGGTTGGAGTGAAAATTTAATACAACCTGAAAAATTATTTTATGGTTTCTTTAACGAGCAGAATTTGCACGGCACTTCTATTTTAATCGTTTTCTTGTCAAAACTTTGCCAGTAGATATATTAGGATTCTTACGGAAAATACGAAAAGTTATACAATTTTGATTTAAGATGCTTAAAGATTAGTTATAATCATGAGCACGAGACATATGCTTTACATCATTACGAAAATTAGAAATCGAGAAAACAAGAAATACTTTCAGCCTTTCCACTTCAGTGACGAAGGAAGCGCAGCGGAGCTGATACTATGTGCCGTCATCTATGAGCGACGGCGGCAAACCAGACAACCGGCAGGCAGGTTGTCTGGTTGCAGCCGTCGCTCATAGATGGCGGTAGCTGTCGAGAGCGTTGTATTGAGATTTATTTGTCCACGGACGCGAAACTGGAAAAACTAGCCGTTAAGAGCTCCGCTGTAAAAATATATATATATATATATATATTCTTTTCTTAAATATACACAAAAAGAAAACAGTGCATGTCTAATGGCTGACTCTCCTTCCGATGTCACAGGCAACATCGCCATGGAGAACTACGGGCTTTTCGAAGGCGACATCCTACTGCCTGGAAATATGACTGACGTACGTACACCAATCCACAAACTTTGACGACCCCTAAAAATAAACTATCGCCGCCAGCGCAGCTGACTAAGTAGGCAGCGCGCCCGCGGCCTAACGATTATTACGCTTGCCTTCCTTGCAGAAGGCCAGGGTTCGACTCCTGGCCGCGTTTACACATTCTTGTTTACGCTGTAATGTGATGTTCTGGTAAATTCAAGAACCGTCTTGGCTAATTCGAGGTTAGAATGTTCTACGCGCCAAATCTTCTACGCCGCATGTTCCAGAAGCCCACGCGTGTACAAAATGGGCTCCGCCTGGCAAGCCGAGTCAGTCTCGCGCCAGCGCTCGATCGTGCGGTTTCGCCGACATCGACGCCCGCGACGCTCTGCTGTTTTCTTCTGTTCCCTTTTTGTTTTGGGCACAGGTTTGCCCCTTTAAACGTTTAGTTTCTTCAGTTATCATCGCCTCATCGATTGCCATTCGTGACACTATACTTTTAGAGTTTCTGAGTATCCGTGGGAGCTTTCACTATTCAACAGTAGATTGCGATCTGGCTTGCATATGCAAGTGTTACTATTATGGAGTCTAATTCCTCCCCGATTTTTCAACCCGCAGAAAAATAGCCCGGCCAAGTTTATTTCATAAACTATATTGCAACATCACACTTCGCAGAAGGCTTATTACACCTCCTCTTTATGTTTCACATAGACTTGACCCTCAACGCTAAGTTTGCATCCCATGTGATCGCAACAATGTTTTTCACCACACCGTCATACCATCTACAGCCTGTGACTGGAACCACCCTCGTGCTCCCATAGTTTAAATGCCAAATCACGTTCCTTGTAAAACAGCTTTAGCTTGTGTCATCATCTAGCCAATGCTTACCGCATCTTTTTATCAGTTATATTCTGCTTAAATTTGTGTGTAACCACTTCCTTTCATGTAATGCTTACACACTAAGAATAAATAGAGTAAAACTAAATAAAAATGAATAGATATGGCGGAATGAAACTAAGTTGAAAGGGGTTGAATTTGAATGTCATAAAATAAGCGGCTATGATCATAGAGGTAAAAGAAAACCAGTAGTGCATTGAAGACGTGTCAGTGGTAGCAGCAAATCACTGAACAAATAACTAATGCGTAAAAGTTGGCAAACTAATACTTTTTTTTTTATTTAATTTTTGTCAAAGGAAAGTTGACAAGTCACCGTATTGAGTTGCGAACGAAATCAACGAACTTGTTAAAAATAAGAAGCGTGGACACTAAACGCGTCTGAATCATGCTTGAATACAGTAAAATGTTTTAAAATTTTAAGCCGGGGTCACATTGCTCATACATCATACCATAGACAGTCTGCAAACACAAGTCATGGTTCGAATGCCGCGTGCCATGTTTCTCCTTGACCTTATTGCAATGCACCATTCGAAGCACGCATCTCTTGGCGACTAGCGTTCGAATCTGTATGCAGACTGTGATTTGTATGATGTATAAGCAGTGTAACACCGGCTTTACGAAACCAAGCAGGGTGAATAAGAACAATCACATTACAGGTTCTACTGGAAGCAATTTAGGGAAATAATGGTATCACTGCGCAGTGCTCTTCTATTGTTCAACTAGTGGTAAGCAAAAACAAACAGTGAACTGAGCATAAAGCTTGTATTAATTTCCGAGTAATATATGCATGTACGTGTACCTTTTACGTGTGCTTCAAAGGAGAGTTCTTAAAACTTTTCGTAATTATGCAGGGTACCTTTTTTAAGCTTTAGAGATTTGTTAAAAAAAGCGTAAAGGTACACTAATGCGGTTTATGAAGGTGAGTTATGCGGCCAGGGGTACTATAGTATAGGGAGTCAGTCGCAACGATCAGCCGGCGATTTAAGTAAAATTTGTTAAGTAACTTTTTAATTAGAGAAAATAGACATACGTTTCTAAGGAACTTGCTGAGCGTCATCAAAACCCCCTAAATCAGCTCTTTTTAGAAATACATAACGCAGGGGAAGCATTGACGCGTCTCTAGGTTTCGGTTCCTTATCGGAGCGCATCTCTGCGCCCGCGGTCCTGCTCTTCAGTGGCTAAGACACGCAACACACGTGCACCCTAGTTACCCCAGTCCGGAGCCGAGGGGGCGGCTTCGCGCCGCGACCCCCAGGGTGCAGGACCGCGGGCACAAAGATGCGTTCCGATAAGAAACCTAAACTGTAGTAAAGTGGAGAAGAGAGGGGAAAACCTAAACCCATAAACGCGTCCAAACAGAGCGTTTTTTCAGAACGCCGTAAAATGTTACGGCTGTCCTATATCTTCCTAAAAGAGTTGATTAGTGGTTTTCGATGATGCTTAGCAAGTTTCTCATTGGAACCATATGTTTATATCCAGTAATTAAAACGTTAATTGCCAAATTATACTTAATTAATCTACTGATCGTTACAAATATTCGCCTATACTATGTCCCCTTGGCCGTGTAACTCACCTGCACAAACCGCATGAGTGTAGCTTTAACGTTTTTTTTTTAAAGAAACCCGTAAAGCTTAAAAAAGAAACCCTGTATATCAAACTGAAATGATAGTATATCTGGAGCGTTAGTTGGCTGTTAGCTTTCTTTTTAAGATGTGATGCAACTCAATTTGATGTGTATGTTTCGTAGAAGAGAACAAATAAAGAGCTATAGACATGATTTTATCAGGTACAATTATAATAAAAGTGACAGAACGAATTTTAAAGCAAACGCTGTGAACAAATATAATAAATACATATTTGTTTTCGAAAACAATATTCACATGGTTCAGAATCTCTGGAAAAACATGGAAAACACAAACACTTTAACTGCCGCCCAGTTAGCATTCTTTCTGTGATGAACTTAATATAGAAAACGAAAGATCAATATAAAATTCGATAAACTTTCTCGATATAATTTTTATAGACTGATGGAGAATATGAGGTTTTGAAAGCATACATTCTACTTTTCACTAGATCTTGGCCATTAATATATGTATACTTATGTACTTCAGCGTATGTACTATCATAACTTATTAACTTCACTCATGTTTTTTAACCCACGTTACAGAAAACTGTTAGAGAGGCCGCATAGTCATGTTTGAATTCACAATGAAACAAAAAAGAAGTGTGGGAAAAGCTATAGAAGTTTGGAGCTATAGCAGGAGGCTATGTTGGAGCTTAGGTGCCAAAATAAGTAGTCCGTTGCAACTCAAGAAGGTAGGGCGAGGGTAAGACGGCCGGGAAGGAGGAAGCAGACGGAACGCTGGAAAAGAGAGGGGGAAATCTTCTTCTTTCTTTAGCATTCCGTCTGCTTCCTCCTTCCCGAACCGTCTTACCCTCGCATTACCTTCTTGAGTTGCAACGGACTATAAGCACATATGGCACGCCCCAGCGATGGACTTAGAAATAATTTATATAATCCCACTAACAGAGGGGAGATAATCCAAAACAGGGCATTAAGGTACAATATATTTCAGACTATTCTTTACATACCAGTGTTAAGCCACTTACAACCGCGTAGGTCCCCAAACCTATACAACTCGCCGTAAGCTTTCCGACTGCTCCTTCTTCATAAGATATATCAAAACACTGATAAAAACGTCCCTGCGCTACACACTTGACCAAGTTGCTGCCGGAGGTGACCAATGTGTGCAAAAGTAAATATATTCAGGATTGACCTTAGTTTTTCGCGAACTTCACACTACATCTTGCAATTGTAAAATTAAATCTTTCTGAATGAGATTGTTGCAAAAATTTACATCGTACGTTTTATGAACTTCTCAAAACTTTTGAGTAATTTTACGAACGTATAGTGATGAGGCTTAAATTGTTATTAAGCAGTTTGTACCTGCCACTGTCTTGATTGTATGCGCACGCCATGCTTTTTTCCTACTGCTTTTTTTTTTTTTTATAGAATTGTGAAATGATATTCCCCCTCCCCCCCCCCCCCCTTTTCTTTAATACCTGGAAACCGGCCGGTAACCACGGTAAACAAATCAATAAATACATATTATACGTTCTAGCATTATCTCAGTTATACAACACTTTAACATTTAAATTAATGATTTATGCAGAAATATTGGTGATAAGCGATATGCAACATAATGTTCAGCTTTAGTGCTGCTTTGTTTTAATATATATTCAGGTGGTGCGTCAAATGGTCCTATGTATATTAAAATATTATGCTTTTAATATTGTCGTCATCATAAGGCGACGACTCCAATCGTCGTCATCATAAGATTCCAATTAGTTGGAATCAACTGGAATTGGATTAGAATCGATTAGAATGGACGATTGGAATGGGAAGGATAATTTTCTGAAGCTTCTCCGGTAAGCTTGAATTTTCCCGATTTTCCGCTAGTTTTTGTGTCACGGATGATCCTATTGTAAAGGAAGCCTCAACCAGTACTCCACGAAGATATCGATGTCATACTTGTAGAGCTCGTTTCTACTCAAAGTAGCAATACCTTGTCAGCTCTACTGGCTGCATCAGAAAATTCCACTGCAGATGCTTAATTATCATACGGGACCACTGTCCCGTATAATAATTTTATGTAATAGCATCGCATCCTCTAAGATGGACATTTCCACGTATCCCTCAGTTTTTCGCCAAGACTTGGAGAGTTTAGTTGAAAGTTGAAACTGTAGTCCATTTTGTGTGAAGTGTGCCGACTATATATAGCCATGCTAATTTGTACATTTACATTTGATGCTGTTGGTGTGCTTCTTCTTTCATCTTCTTTTGTGCGCCAATGTAAAGACCCGCGTGGTCGTTTTTGGACACACAAAATAAACATTTATATTTATTACTCTTATTATTATTATTACATTGATTTTCTACGGTGTCTAGCAATTACAGAACCTGAATAAGCTGCGTACGATCTGTTCCCTAAATATGGGAGGATACGTAGCCTCGTAGTCATAGAGCAGACGAAATCAGATAGTTTGAAACGTTTGAAACTCAGCTGGTGTGTTCGAAGACAGTTTAAAGGAGTGTACTGGGTGAAGTCAGTAGAGAAAATCTATGATCTTTTATTTGTAGTTTTGTCGCTACCAGTGAGGTTATGGTTACTTCGTAAAGTATTCATAGCCCATGATTGGAGGCGAACGGCATAATGAAGGTTCCTCAGTTGTCCCATTTCCTATTCGAGCTTGCTACCTTAGATAACGTTTGGGCGTCACCTGGGATTTTAGCGTGCACGGCAGAATAAGTTTGACGGAAAGCATCGACCTCGTGCTGGAGGCCAGACATACGAAAGAAATACCCTGCCTTTCTCATTCTGTTAGTGAGCGTAGGACGTTTTACTTCTTTACATTGTGTAAGATGTTTCATGTATTTTATCTCGTTCATTAAAGAAAAAAATGAAACCGGTTACCTTTCACCTTTCTTTTCGAAAACACCCTGTTCCGAAGTAGATTATAAAGTTCTATACATTTTTGCATGTCCCATTCAAATACTTAACTGCCCATGGTTAGTAGGCCAGATACGCATAAAAAGAATTCAAAAGAAGTGATCGAGAGTTAATTAATGATACTAGAAATATTCCGATCGATCAAAAATTATAAACACGCGTGCCTTATGCATTGCTGCGGTCTATATTTACTCTGGAAGAACTAGTAATAGGGCTAATTGGTCAGCGTTAGGACGAAAAAAAAAAGAAGACATGTCCAATGTAAAAGAAATGAACTATAGAAGAACTTGTAATTGATCTGTGATCTTTTGATGGCGCCTGTGCGCGTCCTCTTTCTTGTGTCGGTTGTTTTTTGTGCTTTATACTCCCTAACCTATATTTTATTGTCAACGGGAGAGATTCCAGACTCGTAGCTTTCACCAGTTTTACGGTACCCGCGTAGTTCTACCATATTAGTACCGGATGCTAAGAATTAAAAGCGTAGCTCGCGGGACTTTTGGGGAATGTTCTTAAGCCGCGGCCTACGCTCCTAGGCGTGTTAATTTGATTCCTTGATAGGAGGTCGTTCACTGATTGACACACGCAGAGGACTGCCGTGACCAGCGATACTGCCCTGTGGCCTGACGGAGTGATACCCTTTGTTGTCGAATCCAGCCTGGGTAAGTTTCTTCCGGAAACGTCGCATTGTACCTATACTAATATTTACAAAATGTGGGGCGTGCGTCCCTATATTACTGCGCCGCAAGTGTGGAATAACGTTGACGGCGGAACGAGCACACTAAAGCCGGTGTCTCACCGCTCGTACATCTATAGCTTCCTCTAAACTCACAAAGCCTGGCAGTTCGACGACGGAGCCATGTAGAATGCCTGGTCGCAGACTTGGAGCGCGAGGATCTGGTAGCACATAGCGTGAAAGAGCCGTTTCGCTGGGAACCTGGACGTCAGCGCACAGCTTTCGCAGCGGCGACGACCCGAAACACACGTGTTCGCTCGGGAGAAGTGTGTTTCGGCGTCTCGCCGCAGCGGGGCGCGAGTCACGTGGCTCTCCTCTCATCCGTCGTCTGCCGCTCCTCCTTTTCCCTTTCGGCGACCGCTTCTCGTAGCGAACTGCCAGGCTTTGTCGGTACAGAGAAGGATATGGTAGATCATACAAAAGGCACGGTGTTGACAGCAGAAATGATAGCAGAGTGATGCGCGGACACTCCTCGAGCATCTACGAGGAAGGCTTGCCTCACCAGGCATACCTGTGCCCAAAACATGTCTGCAAATATTTTTTTACATGACCAATGTTACACGAGACTAAATTTGCCGCAAACAGTGTCTGTAGGCTGTCTTTTGCACGATGGATTACCGGCGCGTCCGCGGCTTAAAGGGCTATCCTTGCTGTACGCGACTTTTGTCGTCCCCGACCTAAAAACTCTCTGCGCCTTATATAGAAACTCACGCAATCCGGATTAGTGGCGAGGCGAAAGCTCGGCGGGCACTTATAGGACGAGAGTAGGATTTTTGCTGTGGGCGAATCAAGTCGTGTCCTGTGTGAATAGCCTTTACCATGCGCTAACATATCGTCATCTGAGAATGTTGTTTCGTTGTCAAGTAGCGATTCATTTTTTTTTGCTGCGTTGTTTTTGACGTTTAATTAATTTTGTGACATAAAATGAAGAAACGAGGCGCGGTAAAAGTTGTCATTTTGCTTATATTATATGGCGTTCTGCAGGGGTACACACTCTGTAGCGTAAACGCTGCATAGTCGGCAGTATATGTCGGTTAGAATGGAGCTTAAAATTCGAAATCCACATTTTTTAGTAGAAAAAAAAATATTAAACCGAGGCGAGACTTTGAAAGCTTAAGGATATTATTTAAATATAAAAAAAAAAGAGAAAGAACTCTAGGGCTTTGTTTGCTCAGGTAAGCTAGTATAAATTCCTCCCGCAAACACTTTCCCACAAGGGCATCGAGGAAAAGTGGACATCTTGAATTTCTTATGGAGAGTTTGTTTCACACGCACTGGCACCGTTTGAGTTCTCTTCCAGAAGGCATCACCCTCGCAGAGTGTCGCACGGAGAACCGATCCCGAACGAACTTGCGGAGTACAAACTGGTGCTGCAGCCAGCTATGTTGTTGTGGCAAGAGTAGCAACCTCAAACAAAAAATATCGCCGTGTTGTTCGACATGACAGGCGGCAACACGAAACAGTGCAGTCGCTGCAATGTTTATATTTGCGATGACTTAAACAACTCGATTGTCGTGAAGATATTTAGAGACCTCGTATGTTTCCGTCACAAGCTGACAAAATAAAACAACTGTAAGGAATAACAAAAGTGAGAAATTTTTCATGGTAATAAAACACGAGACTCAGGAACACAGAATGGGACGAACACAACACAACGTCTCAAACACAGCTCTGAGCTGTGTTTGAGAGCTGGGTTTGAGACGTTGTGTTGTGTTTGTATCCTTCTGTGTTCCTGAGTCTCAGGTTTTATTACCATGAATCATCACCAGCTCGCTTGTTTATGAAGTATTATTGAAATCTTTCAGTTCTTATAACATGTTTGCAATGAGGAAAACAATATTTATACTATTCGCGCGGAAGCTTAAGCAGTTTTAAGCTGAAACCACGGAAAGGATGCGGTTTCAAACTATTCTGTTGGAATCTCCAGCAATACGTTTCGCGGCACCTTCGCTTTCAGTCCTTGGTTGCATAAATACGTAGCTGTGTAAGCTCTTATTTCTATTGAGAGCAGTGAAATAAAAAACTTGCTAGAAAAAAAAAAAAAAAGAAACAGAAAAAGGAAAACGAAGGTGCGGAATAATTGGTATACGTAAATGTGAAACATACTGATTTTATTAAAGCCTTGGTTAAAATCACCATGTTCAGCTCACTCGGCTACTAATTGGATGCATCACAAGTACTTCTGGGCGAGTATTCTTGACAAATGTCGGCTCGGGAGTTCACAATCGGCCATATTTCGGTGATAACTTCTCACGCGTATACCTATGAGCTGTATCTGGCGCATTTTATCCTAATATTTTTTTTTCGCGCCACAAAGCTTCAAATAATTAACCTATATATGCGGAGCGAAAGTTCGTCTGCTCGTTGCACAGGGGTTGCGATTATGCCAGAACGCCAAGCTCTTATTGGCTGATTGAAAAAAAAAAAAAAAAATAGTGGGTAGACCTTAAGGCGTCTAGCCTTGTGGGCCACTCGCTATCTCCATTCAAAGCCAATCAGAACTCGGCGTCGCTCTGACGTCACCACAACTCCTGCGCAAGAAGCAGACGACTTGCTCTCCGCATAGCCACGAGAAAGATCTCGCTGCCGCTGATGCGTTTTTCCCGCGCCTTTTTACTCATTGCGTAGATTTCAGCGACTGTACGGTAACAAAACAAATCAAAACTTGCGAAAGTGTGGGTTGTCAATAACCCGCCCCCTCCATGAATTAACGGGAAGTCACAATTTAAGCTCGCGTTAAATCCCGTCTCTCGCGGGACGCGATTTTTAGCAGAAAATTGCGTCCCGCTTCGTAAGAATGCAGTTCGTAGCAGATCAGTAGCTGACGATTTCCTGTCGTCTGCTGTCGCACATCGTCTGCCTCGCCTGAGCGATGCACGACAGGATCGCATTCTTGCGAACGTTAGAATCTCTCGGTGCAGCGAGTGCATGCACTTTTGGAGTGCGGGTCGGAACGAGCTCGCTGCACGCTGCGAGTAGGCACGCGTGGGCACGAACTCGCTGTGGTAGGCTAGATGAACTCTCTGACGTTACGGCACTGCGGTGGCTCTGCTCTCGACACTGGCACACGCTTCACTTCCCTGGAATCTGGTTTCTGCGAACGCGCTCACCTGGTGGGTCCAAACGCTGACTTGTTTGTACATATGTAGTGCATTGGTCGAGAGAGTGTATAGAGTCGCGCTTGCATACGTAAAACACGCGAATCGGAGTCAGTATCCCTGTTCCCTTCCCTGGACGAAAAACTACCTGATTTCACCAACCGCGACTGGTGTCGGAAATATTGGAACGTCTTTTGCAGATGGGTCGTGACAAGAAGGGCGGGGGACTCTTTCGGGTCTTTGGGAGGGAAGTCTCCGGATAGGGAAGATAACTGTAGGAAGCACCGAGGCTAAGCTGAAGAGGCAATGGACAAGCGTTGGCATACGACAAGGCCTCTATTAACTTATAGAAAAAAAGCATTCAACACGTAGAAGCAGAATATCAGGAACACTCTTATTTATTAGTTCATTAAACGATGGATTTGATTGCTGTAAAGGTTTCTAAGAAACACTTACAGATTAAAAAAATAAGCACACACAGGGCGTACCATATTTACAAAGTGTTCACCCCCTTTCTCAAAAAAAAAAAAAGTTATTTTTACCTTAGCAATAAACTACGCATTCTCGAACGCTCATTTTCCGCCCTAGTGTAGAGCTTACGGTCCGGACAAGTTGCCACTGTTTCGGAGCAAACCGTTCTCATATTTAAAAGTTATAAGTGATTTTCTGCACATTTCATTGGGAACATCGGGCCTGTTTTTGCCAGTTTTCGATTAATGGCGCCATTCAGCTGTATGTATTCAATATCTCGGCCGGCCGCAATTTATCCCTTGAACATTTCAGAAAATAACATTACTTTAGAGCAGGGATGGGCAGTATTTCAAATAGAAGTATCTTAAATACGTATTTCAAATACTTTGTGTATTTTGCATTTGTATTTAATTACAAATTGGGTAATGTATTTGACGTGTGTATTTAAATATTAAAACGTGGGTATTTCAAATACAATTGTAATTAAATACAATTTTGTGGGCGAAAATATATCCCTCAAATTTTTTGTCACTGTCCAGAGCAGGAAGAAAACTACGTTCTGCACCGAATGCAGTGTCTCTCAATCAAGCACAAGCGTTTAGTGACTGTGATTTCGGCGCTAGTCCAGGGCCAGAATAGTGACGAAATTGACGTTCACAGGAAGACTGGCTAAATAAGTGCCTGTGACAACTTGTGATGCTTTCCAGCCTTATTTCCATCCATATTTTTGCCTGGAACATTCCAAATGCGCGGGTCGTCCAGATTTTCGTAGCTGGTGCGAGTTGCAACAATAAAAAAATCTCTAGCTAGTGCTGCGCGTCTTGGTCCTATCGGTTCTTTGCAGGTCTATATAAAATGTAATCGACAAAAAAAGCTGCTTGAAGCTCTGTACTTTTTTCACCTATTACGTCCAAGCTGATTACATTTTTTTTTGTGATTATATTTCTATTACGTTACTAGAGCCTCGCACACTAACTCCCGAGTGTGCGATGCAAAATTAAAACGAGATACCCAGAAACCCGTTGCAGGTGCCCTGAAGTCGCTGACGCAAATTTTGAGGAACGTATTTGGAAAAGCAGTTGGAGGAAACCAAATACATTTGGTTGTATTTGTATCTTGTACTGAAATGCTTTTTTGGAAATGTAATTAGATGAGTAATTAAACACATTTTTGACGAAGTATTTTGTATTTGTATTTCGATACATATTTGCATGTATTTTGCCCATCCCTGCTTTAGAGTGACATTTAGTTTTAAAAAATTGGCATTGCATGCTTCGTACCGCTAGCGTTATATTTTTGCGGACAATGAGCGTTAGGCAATAAATAGTTTATTTCTGGGCTAATAAAGTAAATAAACCCTGCAAAGTTTTTGGGGAAAGCCCATTTACGCTTTCTGCTTCGTGATTCGTTTTTCTGCCTTCTCATCACCTGATGCAGAAACCTCATTGGCTCCGGAGCCACAATGAAATAATCGAGGCCCTTTACGCCCTGCTTTTCTTCTGCTGTCAGTGCACACATTTGTTTGATCGTATAATTCCTTCCATATTCCCACGGATTTATATCTGTTATGAACCGCAACTTACAATTAAATACTCAAACCGTAAAAATGAATACACAGAAAACAACGACGCTTTTGTTGCAGGTAGGAACATAGCCGCCATCGAAGACGCCATGAAAGGCATCGAGTCGCAGACCTGCCTTCGTTTCGTTCCCAGGACCACCGAGCGAGACTACATCACCCTCTTCAAGGGACCAGGGTAAAAAGACTCCATTTTTGCAGACGCCATTTTCGACTTAATTCTGTTTTACCGCTTTGCTAAGCTCGTTTGGATGACGTCCTTACATCGTAATGGTGGACTACGCCACATTTGAGCGTGCTGTTCACCGCACGGGCTCGTAGCCAGCTGTCGTCTGTTGTCCTTGCGCTCTACCAGCGTTCTTTCGTCCGGAGCCGGCTCGGCTGCAGGAAAATCGCGTAGAGCAATCGAAGTCACTGCGACGTCATCACAGATAGATCGAGCGCGTGCACAGATTGAACAAGACTGCTGCAGGTCATCGTCCGGTCCGGCCTCGTGACCAATGAACGCGTCTAAAGACGCTCGGCAGAACTATTCCAAAAGCACGCGCATTCTATAGTTGGCGACAGGTCAAGAACCAAGTGGAAGCTCCTCCCACCTCTTTCCACTTTAGCAGAGCGAACGCTGAGGAGGAGGCGACCTCCTTTCTAGCTTTCGCTCTGCTAAAGTGGAAAGAGGTGGGAGGAGCTCCTTTTCTATCGGAACTGCTGCGTCATTCATCCGAGTACGCCATTGTTTGCTCACGTACACTGAGCATGTATTTGACACGAGGGGCTTTGTCAGCGTTCGACGTAAACTGGTATCCAATCACACGCGTCGTGCCCCAAAGATGGCTACCTCCAATGTTGCTTGATGGACTTTCGAAAAAAAAAAAAAAGGAAGTCATATTATTGAGTTTTGCGCCATTATACTGTGATGACGTCATGTTCCATGGGGGGAGAGGAGGGCGTTTGCGAGTTTTGATTTATCTAGGTGGTGTTGGCTGCGGTGACCGGTGAATGGCGCAGTGCGAGAACTGCAGGCGAGGCTCCGCCACCAGTATTAAAACCGGGCTTTTTGCCTTGGTGCATAGAACCTAATGCCCAATGCGCCAAGGCGCATTAGACATTTAGGCGGAGCTTTGCTTCTGTGCGCGCCAATCTTGAAAACAGAGAGCGGTGACAGATGGTTTCTCTCTCCTTTTTGGTGGCGTCAGAAAATAAATGAATAAATAAATGCTTTCATATTCCGTGGTATACTTGCTGACGCCATTTCTCGGCAGGAATTCAAAAGTAGAGATTCTCCCGGAGTTCTTGTGTTACTGCGAACGGTGCCTGATAATTTTCGTTTAACTTTTGCTAATCTTCAAAAAAAAAAAAAAAAAAAAAAAAGCCGTGAGTACGTGCTTACAATGGTAAACAGAAGCTACATTTTTAGTCTTCGCATTTGGTGATTTTAACTAAATTCTGGTTTAACTTATGGCCAAGAATCCGAGACATCCGCTTTAATTCCATTCCGCGACGACATGTGGCGCCTAAGCCCCGAGCGAAATCACTTTTCCAATTTCCAATGTGCCCTCTGTTTCCGCCCGCACCGCCAATCTTATCTTCGAATCCGGAGAGGAGACATCGTAATGGAGTAAGGGCATAGCACTGATAACACGCTCAAGACAGCTCCGAACCTCGGAACCTCTCAAGGTCACAGCTGGGCGCGCCTAGCGCAGACGTGCAATGTGTAATTGCTTCTCCCGCAGCCAATGTGCATTTTAAAGTGATAAGCTAACGCTCAAGACTATTGCTTCATCGCTAAAAATCCAAATTTAAACCGAGCAAAGTTAAAGCTATACTTCGTCTCACCTTAGCATGGACTGGCCCCGGGGGCTGCTCCAGCGCGAGACGGTAGCCTTCATTGGCGTTCGCGCCACACGAGCCCTCGTGCAGCCGCGGAGGTGTCGTCGAAAGCAAATAGCTCGCGCTTTTAGCACGCGACCAACGAGCCCATGCTAAGGTTAGACGAAGTATTGAAGCGCGAGCCGAATCCGCTACGTTTTCCTACCTCGCACCGGCGGTAGTGCATCGGACATAAGGCAAAACGATGCTAAAAGTGCTCTGTTTCAGGCTGGGCTTTCTCTTATCACTGGAGCCTGTTACAGAGGGTCTTCTGGCTTAGGGCGCCTTGGCTCAGGCTAAACTTTGTGTCACCTCAGCATGGACTATTGTTAGCCATGCATGCTAAAGGCGCGAGCCGTTTCCTTTGAATCACTCCTCGGTGGCTGCGCGAGCGCTCGGGCAGAGCATATACTCTAGTCGAGTTTGTCAAGGCTAACCGCTTGGGCTTGCACAACCTTTTCAGTAGTACTTCGCAGTCTCACGCTAACATGGACTAACCACGGAGGCTGCGCTAGCGTGAGATGGCAGCCCTGACTGCGTAGATTGGCATCCTCGCAGCAAGAGTGCTCGCGCAGCTGCCGAGGCGTCACCCAAAGCGATTACGCCGGGCTTTTATTGCGCGTGGTTGCTAAAAAGATACAATTATAGCTTTGGCCGTGATACGGTGGAATATGCACGTCAGCTATTTACTTGTCTGTTTGTAAACAAGCTCACTATGGTGGGTGACAGCTCAAGAGTGCAGTGGAAGCTCCGCCTTCAGCCGTGCTCCTTGCTCTCCGCCGCGCTTTGGCAGCGCGTGCACACTTGTGCTATCAAGGCCACAAAGCTCGTGGTGGAAGCGGAGCTTCCACTGCACTGTTGAGCTGTCACAGACTATAGAGTCCACTACTGGCGAACCCGGCGCGCTTCCGGATTCGAACTTCTTTCCGTTTTGTTCCACGTAATCTTGCTTCCTGTACAGCTCGCAAGTACGAGGGTCGTTTGATAAGTTTGGTAAATTTATACGATGAACAATTCAATGGATGACGCCATGGCTGGCAAGTGTCATTCTTCAAACTAACCCAGGCTAGCTTCCAGACGGGAGCGAAGCGCTGTTCATGTTTGACAGACGGCTGAAGCAAACACTGTAGCGCTTGCCACAACACTGAAAAAAAAAAAAAAAATACCCAGCCCTGTGCAATGATCAAGCACGTTTGTTTTAAAAATGTTAACGTCCACGCATCAAAACCGAGTTGCATTAAGTTCATGGGGACCCTTATTCAACGTTGAAGGCTGTTTAGCTCTGGGTTCATTGGATTAAACGTGGCAGAACGTTCCCTGAAGATGAAGCGCGCTCCGGACGCCGAGTTGAGGTCACCACGACGGATATTGTTGAATAAATTTATAATATATTAATTGGAGGACAGTCGAGTGAATGTGCACAAGACTGCTGAGACCATAGGCATCTCAAAATAACGTGTGCACAAAACCCTCTACAAAAAAGCTATGTGTGCGATGGGTACCAGCACCACCTCCTAGATAACAAGGCAGTAATGCTGATAATTTTTCGCCACAGAAGAAGGCCGATCACGGGCCGTGATTGGACGCGAGAGCTGCGTCAGCGTCTCGTGTCTAATCAGAGAGACGGACGCAGCGCTCGTATCCAATCACCGCCCGCGATGGGCCTTCTTCTGTGACGAAAAATTATCAGCGCTACGGCCTTGTGATCTAGGAGGTGTTGGTACCAGACTGTTCATTCACCAAGACAACGCTCTCTCCCACGAATTGACCGTGACAATGGCAAAATTGGAAGAATTGGGCTTCGAGTTGATTCTTCATCCACCCCATTCTTCTGATATGGCGTCGTGTGTTTTATCAGTGTTCCCGAACTTGAGAAATCTGACTCTGTCGGAAAAAGTTCTCATCAAATGAGAATGCCATTACTCCCGTCAGTTCATATTTTCTAGCCTTTAAGAAAACCTCTTTTTCTGAGAGAAAGAAAATTTAGAAACTCGCTGGACCAAGTGGATAGTCCTCAATGGGGACTATGTTGAGAAACGACATCAATTTTTTTTTCTAACAAAGCGTTTAACCAGCTTTTTTTACCAAACTCATCAAACGACCCTTGTATGCACGTTCATATAAAGGTATAACTCGGAACTCAAAGCACGCTTTGCATTAGGGATGGACAAATAAGAGCTTTACCAGAAGTCTACTGGGGCACGAACCACCCTGGCGCCCTTGTAATATCAACTCACGCCGAGCGCGATGTGGTACAGATAGAGACGGTACCTACGAATGGTTGGACGACACCGAGAAGGTCAGCAGGAGAAGCTCCGTCTCCACCTCGCGCTTGTCATTCTTCGTAAGTTGAAGCATTACCAATCTTAGAGAGCTCGAGCCGGAGTTGGAGCTTCCCCTGCTGACCATATATTGTAACAAACTGTATAATATGCAAGTTTTTGTAAGTCGTGTTTCCAGGTTCAGCAAAAACTCTGCAAGCAGCCTTGAAATTCTGGTAACCCACATGATTTTAAGCTCGTGTCGAAATTTGACTGAGTTGTCTGATAGTCACAGAAACATCTGTAAGCTCTGCAGTTGGTAATATTGTGCGAGGGAGAGAAAGAGAGATACTATATGGTGCAAATAAATAAATAATTATATGCTAGTTCGCCCATATATTTTATACCTTCAGCGAAGGCGAGGGACCCGCAACATTTCCTGTTTGAGTCCTGGTTTTCTGAGAGTCCCTAACCGAGTGTGCTAGCGCCTGGTATCTCGGGGCATGTGGAGAGCAGAAAGATCAGGCTACAAAAACCCGGAAATCCTGAATTCGTCCCCACCAATCAGGATGAGCATCGTACCGGCACGTGTTTGAGTTGCACAGGCTGAATTTGTCAGGTACAGCGTGAGCCAGTATCACCACCTCTCAAACGGCACACACATAAAATTTTTCTACTCTTATTTGTGTGAATGGCCTGTCCTATAGGGAGCACCCTTATTCGTGTAAGAAAACACCCTAGAAAAGGGTGTAATGTCTCACACCCTCAAATAAGGGTGTTTGGACAAGTATGCGAGTAGCGAAAGCGGCCGATTAAATGCGCGGTTGCGGGCGTCAGTGACAGCATACGACGCATTAGCGTGTGGGCTTCATGTTCTTATCATACAAAAACGGACTAATAAAAAAAAAAAAAAAGCTTCCGTCAGGTGGAGTTGAACTGACAACCCCTCGATAACGGCTCAAGCGTTCTACCTACTACACCACCATAAGATGCAGATTTTGTGTTTTACTCCTGCTACTTAAGTCTTCCTAGCACATTTAGAGTTCGAGTG